AAAAAGGTACTCCATCCATGTGCTCCACACCTGAGCCTTGAGCAAGGTTGGGATCATAATGCATAATGCCCACCTGACAGGCCCTGGGTTCAGCCATGGGTTAGCTAGTCCTGAGACCAAGGTCAGGAAGGACATCTGGCTGTGTCCTGACTCACAGTGACAGTGATGTTGGAAGCAAACTCATGTCCTGCCCTCAACTTAAACATGGGAAGGGAGATTTCATGGACAAGAAGTGCCGAGGCACTGGACACCCCCAGCCCGGCACCCCTCAGAGGTCCACACCCCCTGCTGGCTCCAGGTCACCTTTGCAGGACTTCTCCCAGGGTGACCCCCTCTGCCTGAGGATCTCTTATTTTTTCTCTGCCTTGTTCCACCCTCTCCTGCCTCTCCAGCCATATGCAAAGGGTCAGTCACAGGGTCAGCCTGAGGACAGGAGGGTCACTCAACTCCCACCTCTACGGCCCCTGTGCAGCTGAAAGCATGACCGCTGTGGAGCCCAGTTCAGATTCCAACACACAGCGGGCTCGTTGCCACATCCATTCTCAGTGGGCGCCCTCTACCAGCCCTGTCCCTAGGGAGGGGCACACGCCCATCACACAGTGTAGGCACCCCCGGTGAGAAAGGCCACAGCAAGGCCCAAGAGCACATGTCCTGCCACAGTATGGATCTTAAATGTCCTCCCAAGGCTCAAATGTTGAAGGCTTGGTCACCAGCCTGTGGCACTATTAGGAAGTCATGGAACCTTTAGGAGAAGGAGCCTCGTGGAAGGAAGTGAGGCCACTGGGGGTGCCCTTGAAGGGGACATCAGGACCCCAGCCCTTTCCTCTTTTTTTGCTACCCAGCCACCATGGGGTGGGCACGTCTGATCTACCACACAACTCCACTGTGACACTCTGCCTCACCACAAGCCCCAAAGCAAAGGGGCCAGGAGATCATGGACTAAAACCTCTGGGAGCCAAAATGAACTTTCCCTTCACACAAGTTGTTTATCTCAGGTATTTTGTCATAGCAACAGAAAGCTGACTAACATACCCCTAAGTGGCCAAGTCAGGGTTCACACGCAGGACTGTCTAGCTCCTGTTCCCATGTACCAGGCGCCACATTTAACGCTCTAGATCATGTTCTCAAGAACCTCACTTCTTGTCCATGAAATCTCCCTTCCCATGTTTAAGTTGAGGGCAGGACATGAGTTTGCTTCCAACATCACTGTCACTGTGAGTCAGGACACAGCCAGACTGTCCTTCCTGACCTTGGCCTCAGGACTAGCTAACCCATGGCTGAACCCAGGGCCTGCCAGGTGGGCATTAGGCAGAGAGGAGGGGAAGGCCCTGGGTGTCTGGTAGCAAAGGGCATTGCAGGAATCCTGGCAATTCCTTACCAAAAGAATCCCAGTAGGACTTTCCAAGAATCCCCAAAGAGAAAGAAGGTGAGAGATGAAGAAGGACATACTCCAGGAGGCCCCCAAACATAGCCCCAAATTGAAGATAGGAGAAGATGAAGAGATATAGGTAACTGGGCCCCAAAGAGACAACAGCCCCCATCCCTGGTACCCAGCTGCGGGTAACAGAGCCCAGAGGAGACCACAGACTCCACCTTGCCTCCCCCAATCTCTCCATACAGAAACAGTAGGGGGCAGTACTCAGTCGAATACAGGCAGCAGGAGCTTCCTGATGGTCCCCTGCAATCCCACGGGTGTAGCTTCACACACCCAAAGCAGCAGTACAAGGTCTTAGGTCACCCAGGCAAGACCCCCGTCTGTGTGTTCCATGTCCAGATACTGATCTCTCGGCCCAGAGGGAGCCAGACAGGGGCCATGAGGGCCGGAGCTCTGAGCTGGTCTGCACACCCAAACACTCTGCCATTTTCTTTATGCCTTCAAGGGACAAAGGGTGGAAAGCACTGCTCTAAGCTCAGGTCTCCATCACCGGAAAGGAAACGTGAGGTCTAGAGCCAGGAAGTGACGTGCCCAAGGCTGCCCAGGTGAGGTGGGGCAGAGACTAAGCTGCAGTCCAGCCTCCTGGCACCTGATCCCCCTTCTCTGTGCTCCCCACAACGGGCTGCTTAGTTACCCAGTGGCAGGGCCTCCCCTCCCAGCTGTACCCAAGTCTCCCCACACAGAGCCACCCACAGACCCAACTCTAGGGCTGCTATGGGTCCCGAAGAATCAACAGGGGCAGAGAGCAGGGATCATCACCGTTCCCAAAACCTGGGCCTCGTGGTGGGGAGTGGTCCCAGAGCACAGAGGCCCAGAGCTTGTGTGGGGGGCCATTATCTCTGGGCAACAAGTGCCAGGAAGCTGAGTCCGTGAGTGCACATCCCTCGCTTGTCCGGGCAGCACCCTCATCCAAGAGCGTCACCCTCACTCCAGGAAGCCTTCCTTCGCCAGGAAGACACTGCAGCGTTGAGTCGGGAAGCCGCAGGGGCCGGGGTGAGGTTGAGGACCCCGAGCTCCTGTACTCCGGGAGCCAAAGCTGTTTACTTACAGGAGTAAACCCAACGGCACCTGCCCACACGGTGGTATTCAGCTGGCACCTGAGCAACAGGTAAGGGGAACCTGGGAGCCTTTGGGGAAACCAGGGTGTCCCCACCACAGCATATATTTGCCAACCATCCCCAAAGGACCAACCCAAGGTGGATTCCTATTCAAAGCTAATCAGGAGACTCAGAATGTCACACAGAAGGACCTCCGTCAGTCCATCATGGAGGATGGGCAAGACTTAGCACAGAGCTATCACAGTACCCACAGGCAGACCAAGATGGCAGCCGATGCTGGGACCCCACTGGGAGGCTATGATGGTGGGAGTCGAGGGCAGGGCGCTCCGTGTAACTGACCAGCTTTGAGGTCTCCATTCCATTCCCCACTACGTCCCAGCACTGCCAAGGCCCACTCTCCGGCTGCTCTAGTTTGAATTTCGAATGTCACCAAAGGCCCATGTGTAGAAGGCTGGGTCCCAAGCTTGACACTAGTGGGAGGCAGTGGAAACTTAGGAGGGACATCTTTAGGTCTTTAGGGCCCTGGGGGTATGCCCTGGGAGGAGACTGTGGGAATCCAGGCACTTCCTCGATTTTACCTCCTGTCACAAAGTGAGTAGCTTTGTTCTGCCACATACTCCTGCCATGATGTGCCACCACAGGCTCAACGCAACAGGGCTAACCAACCATGGAATGGAAACTCTCAGGCAAAGTAAACCTTTTCTCTTTATAAGCTGATTATCTCAGGTATTCGATACAGCAATGGAGAGCTGACTAACATAGAGGCCAGTGCCTCACTTCTCACATGGGTCCAGAGTTTCTCCCAAGGACATGCATACCCTCCCCATCTCTATCATTCTCAGTGACCAGGCATTCTCAGTGGGAGAGGCTGTCACCTCAAGGGAGCAAGGTTTGTTCTTGGGTAGACAAAAAAAAAAAAAAAGTAGATATTATAGTAGTTTGTGGTCATCCAAAACTCAAATCTTCTGTGACAAAATTTTGCTTCTTGGTACTTAATTTCTCTAGCTAGGGAGAATCTGCTTTTCTCCTTAGGGAAGTCATATGTGGGAAGGAGGTTGAGAAACATTATCCTAGAAAGTTCTTCATTTGAAGGGTTTAGGATCCCAGTGTACAGTCAGTCCTCTGCTCACAGTGTGGAGCAGTAACTGGTCCCCACCTCAGGACATTTGCAATGTCTGGAGATGTTTCTGGTTGCCACAACTTGAGGATATTACTGTATTGAGTGAGTAGAGACCAGGGAAGATGCTAGACATCCAGCACACAGGACAGAAGTCAGGCCAAAGTGTTGACTGTGCTACTGTTGAGAACCCTGGTTTAGAGACATAAGAACCTCAGAAGACTTCAAAGACAGCTGCAGAAGCTCCTGTGAGACCTGAGGCCTGCAGCTCCCAGAGACCCTCAGAAACCCCTGAGAACAAGCCCTGCGCTGGCCACCAGGCACAATGGCTCTTGGAAGACGCACCTCCCCCAAAAGCAGCTCCAAAACGGAAGTCCCCTCTCAGTGCCTGAGCAGGGCAGGCTGCCCTGGGCCCAGGTCTCTAACATGACAGGTGTTCACAAGGCCAAGAAGGAACCCTGAAGCTCATCCGGTTCTGGGCCTGGGATTGGGATGCAAAGCTAGAGCCCAACACGGGCTCTCACTCCCCAGGGCAGCATCGGGTGGGGGACAGCCCAGGGCCACAGAGGCCTCAGGGAGGGAAAACCCAGAACAGACCAGACAGCAGTAACCTCAATAATATGGGTGAGTCTCCCTTATCTGAAATGCGTAGCGCCAGAAGTGCTTGGCTTTCAGATCCTTGTTTGGATTCTGGGATATTTTCATCTATGTAATGAGATGTCTTGGGAATGGGACCCAAACACAAAATTCCCTTTCGTTTCATACGTATCCATACACACAGCCTGAGAGTAACTGTACGCACTGTTTGTAGTGTGCTTGTACTTTGAGACCCAGCCCGAGAGGACAGGTGTGGAATTTCCACAGTGGTATCATGTCAGTCCTCAAAAAATTCTGGATTGGGGAGCATTTCAGATTTGGGATTTGGGATTTGGGGATTAAGGATGCTTAACTTGTACCAACCCAACAGCTCCTAAATGCTCACACAAGCCCTGCAGCACGTGAGCACTTTCCAATCCTCACTCACTCAGACGTCAACACGGTCCAACCAGGTAGGAGACCGAGGCACAGAGACGTGTAGCAACTTGACCAAGGAGAAGAGCTCCAAAGCAGAAAATTGGAGTGAAGGAACCAAGGCGCAACAGGTGACAAAATAGGAGAGTGACATCAGGATTCAGGTTCAGGACCTGCCCGTGGCAGCCACCATGCTAGGCAAGATCCTCAAATCTCCCCTCCAGACCACCAGCGAGGGAGGTGAGCCTTCTTTACGGACCAGGAATCCAGGCTCAGGGACAGTCAGGGACATGCTGGTGAGGAACACAGCCAGGGGAGCCCAGGACTCCTACATCCAGGCCCAGAGCTCCAGGGCCACCTCCCGGCAAGGGCCACTTACCTGAGAAGATTGAAGCAAGCCTGAAGATGTCCGAGAGGCGGGAGGTCACTGGCTCGTAGGGTGAGGCTTCGTAGAACTCCTCACCTGGAAGAGAGAGCAGCATCAGACCCAGGCGCTCCTGGCCACAGCACTTCCGGTGCCTAAACCCTGTCCAAGCACATTCCACCACGAGGGCTAGTGGAACTGGGGAGACGGGCAGCCCTCCCTGAGTGAAAAGGGCCGTGCAGGCCAGTTAGAAATGAAGCCTTCAACGTGTCAGTGGGCACATTATTTCTCTGCAAGGGTGGACCCTCCCCCAGAGCAGGCAGGCAGCACTGCCCGGCACTTCTCTCCTGTGATCTCCCCTCACAGCCAGCCCTCTCTGAAGGACTTCCAGAAGCACTGGAAAGAAGGACAGAGGAAGTCAGACAATGACCCCCAGAAGGCCAAGCACAAATCATAAAATCTGAAGCCAATGGTTCAGGACCACTTCCTCACTTCACAAGAGAGGGTTCTGGGGTGGCCCAGAGAGGCAAAACCAACTGCCTGAGGTCACACAGCTTCTTACGGCAGAGCTACAACTAGAATCCAGTCTCTTGGCCCTCACTGTGGTTCTGCCCACGTCACTCAGGAGGACAGAATTTCCTCTTTGCTTCCTCTGAGGTCATCAGAAGCATCTGGCTGGAGGGGCTGAAGGTTGTTAGGTGGGAGGCCTGACTCCCTGCTCCTGTCAGCTCGATTCCCCCTCCCCACCACCACCTGCCTCCTCCTCAGACCTTTCCTGAGGCTTCAGGGTGCAGAGAGCTCAGGAGGAAGACATGCCAGGGCTGCCCCAGAGACCCCACCACCTCACGGGAATCCTGCAGCCTCTGCCAGTGCCTCACAGGAAAGCAAAACCCTCAGGAGGCCTGGGCAGGGAGGAGAAATCGATGCACACTCATTCAGACTGTGCGTGCGGTGAGGGGCAGCAGGTAGGGGCAGCCCACAGCTCACACACTGCCCTCCGACCTGGCCCAGTGCCACAGGCAGGCACCCCCTGCCCATGGAGAGCCCAGGTGGGGCAGCATCCAGGGGCCACCTACAGGGAGGCATACCCACCCAGAAGAGGGGCCTGGGAATGGTCTTCTAGGAGGAGGCCATTCTGAGGCCAGGACTGGAGGCACAGCTCGCCCCGTGTAGAGAGCCACTGCAGAGCCCCCAGGCTCCCAGGAGAGGGCACAGGGCCAGCACAAGGAGGAAGCACCCACCCCCCAGCTCTGGTGAAGCAGCCTCTGCCCTACAGCTCAACCCAGAGGAGCACCCCGCATGCTGGACAACACTAGCACGCACAGTGGGTTTCCTCTGGAATCACTGCCTGACCCTATCCAGTCAGCTTGCTCTCCATGGACCCTGTCCAGTCCCCACCCGCTGGGCTTTCAGCCTATCAGCAGTCTGCATGATCTCCATGTCCTCCCCGACCCAGGGAACTCCCAGTGGAGGGGCCGGCAGCCATGGTTGTGTACTGAGCCAACAAGAGCTCAGGAGTCCCTTTTATAATTAAAGTCACTGTGCCTCCCACGTGCCACTCCCCAGAATGTGCTTTCCACACCTTCACTCACTCCCTCCTCTTCACTACTCTGTGAGCTAGGCACTATTGTCCCCTCTATTGCACTGACAAGGAACAAGGGACACAGGCATCCAGCAACTTGCCCAAGGTTGCTAATGCCATGCAGCTGGTAAGCAGCAGATCCAGGCTTCAAACCCAGGTAGGTGACTCCAGGAGCCAAGGGCATCGCCACCATGCACACAGCCTCCAAATGACAGTGTTACTGAGACCAGCGGCTCTTAACTAGCACTGATGGTGCACTCTCTGTATCGGGGACGGGTCAACCAGCAGCCTTGACTAAAGGGCATCCCTGAGAGAAACGGCCTCCCCAGGTCCAGTTTGGAGGGCCATCTTCTTCAAGTCCATTCATTTAAGTCGCCTGTTCCCACAGCAGAATGCACCAGTGGGAAATCCCAGGCCTGGGCCACCGACGTCAGATCGTGGGAACAGACACATGGAAGAGCCCTCTGCTCTTCACGATCAAAGGATCCGACACCTTGGATCTCAGTATCGCCTTTGGAAAAGGCAAGAACCTGGTTTCAAACTCCCACGCCACCAACAGGGACAGCCCCATTGTGTAAATACTGGAGGTGGTAATGACAGAGAGGAAAGAGGCAGCAGGCCATGCCATCTCCCCCAGGGCAGTGGGAAAAGACCTGGAGAAGGGCCAGGGACCCTGGGTCCAAACCTGGGTTCCCCGCCCACCTCACTGTGGCTGCCAATCAAGGGGTGGCCCAAGCCATGTCCAGGTCCTCTGCAGTTCAGACTCCGGGAGCTCTGAGGCCATCCCTTCAGAGGCCACATGCCTGCCACAACCTGCTCCCCTTCCTCCACTGCCACTGCCAGCTGTCCCCACAGGCTGAGGGCCTTGGCCAGGTACCGTGAGCTCAGCCCAGGTAGAGGGAAAAGGCAGAGCAAAGGCCTGGGGCTCCACCCATCCACACGGCCCAGAAGCCCGGAATCCACTGGAATCAGAAGGGAATTCAACCTACACACACACCTCCCCTCTCTCTGGAGAGTCTTGCCCTCCCCTTGGCCCAGGCCCAAGCAAGCAGGCGACTAAGTGTTCCTAAGGAGCAGGGAGGAGGTTCCTGAAGCTTCCCCAGGGAGACCTCTCTACCCCAGCTGGGAACAGTTGACTTTCAGGTAGATTCTGTCACTCAGAGGGACATGTGAATGACATATTCAAAGGCCCCTTGGCTTCCCCTGTCAACCTCGCCCAGAATGATATCTAGCCCGGAGACCCAAAAGGAGGTGACACCCCCTGGGGAGAGGAGGCAGGCTTCTGAGGAAGGGGACAAGTTGGAGGTGCTTTTCTGAATGGGTCCAAAGGAAAATCTGTCAGGGTGGACACAGGACAGGAGCCTCGGCTCTTGCAGGGCCACCATCCTCTGAGGCACACACTAGGTACTTGACAGACGGTCATTGAGTAAATGAACAAAATCACTACCTCAAGGTCCAGAACCAGAGACGGCCACCTGCAGTGAGGCATTCCCAGGTCTAAAGGGTCCTGAAGACCCCACAGCAGCACCAAGCCAGTGCACCAGCATCGCGCCCACCGCTCTCACGACACGAGGAATGCCTCACTCTCCAGGCTCCAAAAGCACCGGCCTCCAAAGCCTGTGAAGGCGTTGAAGTCCAAGAGAGCCACTGAGACGAGCAGGGCCGTTTGTGCTAAAAGCACCAGGAGGTCCCCATGCTCTTCCGGCAGCCGGGCTTCCGTCCCCTCCTCTGTCCACTCTGCGACCCCAGCACGTCCACCCAACCAGCTGCCCACTGTCCTCTAGGTTGAAAGTCAAGGCTGCCAGCAAGAAAACAAGAAGCAAAGCCAGTCTACTATTCCAGAACCAGGAGTCTTCCTTCCAGAGTCGGGCTCTGGGCAAACAGTTCCTTGTCTCGTGCACAAAGGGGACGTGCCATAGGTCAGCAGTCCCTCTTTGCTTCCTCTAGTTCCAGGGATGGAGGTTGCTAGGGAGAAGTGGCCGCTGATGCATGAGGAATTATTCTGCTGTTAATGACAGTGATATTATTCATAGCTGTATGCACTTCCTATTCCAGTGTTCGGAGTACACCTGAGCCCTCTTAGAGGCCACTCAGGGATCCCTTTTTCTCCAGCCACCATACCTGAACCTGGAATCCTCCTTCTCTTCCTGCACCCAGAGGGAGCTCCTTCCAGAGCTAAGGCTAATTCCTGGCCCTGGGCCGACCCCCTGCGCCCTTCGGGGAGACCCTCCTGTCTCCACAACTACAGTCTTACCCAAAATTTAAATTCCACCCTCTCCACCTATCTTTAAAATGTGTGTACTTGTATATGTACACATACACAGGTACAGAGGTATAAATACACCAAAAACACACACCAAAAATCTGAAAAAGGTTGTCCACCCCTGTTCCCATCCATGCGCTAACCGGGCTCCTGCCTGCAGCATCCACCTAAGAAGCCTACCCCAAGGGTGGCAGAGACAATGTTCCCACCTGACCTAAAGTGTGTGCCACCGTTGACAGTCCTTCCTTCTGACAATGAGCCCCTGCATGCCTTCCCACTGGTCCTCTGACTTCTCCCCTGAGCCTCCTCAATTGCCCTTGAAGAGTTCCCTTCTTTGAAAGTCAGTGGGCCAACGGCCTCAGGACCCTGCCCTCCTCCCACCATGCTTGCCCCTACTCCCTGGGTTCCAGTGAGTGCCGGAGGCTGGTGCCCCCTCCGAAGTTTCTCTCCAGCCCCACCGCCTCTGCACTCCAGATCTGCCTGTGAGGGGGATGGCCAAAGAGAGAGACACGCGCCCCAAATAATCTCACCACCCCACCGCCCTCCTCTCCCTCAAGTCCTTTGCTTCTGAGGAGCCCATCACCCACCCAGATGCCCAAGGCAGGAAACCAGGTGCCCTCCTTGAGTCCTCTTCCCGCCCCCTCTCCAGGGCGATCGGTCGTCAGCCTGTTGATCCTATCTTCTGAAGAGCTCTGCCTCCCTCCTCCCCTGTCTTGCCGCCGTGGCGCTCCCCTCACATTATTCCTGGCCTGTGTCTCCCATGGCTCCTGAACAACCCTTACCAAACCTTTGGTGACTCTCCAAAACCACAGAAGCACACACCTGGTCATCCAGCCGTCCTCCAAACCTTGTGGGAGGTCAGATCTCGTGCTCCCTGCCCCTCCTTCTCCCCACCCTCCCCACGCCCCCCTCTACCTTGTCCCATCACGTCAGTTCTGCATGGGGTGCAGACTCTCATCCGGGTCCTGCTGCTCCCTCCACCCACCCACCCCACTCCTCCTACACCTGCCCCTTTGTAACCCTGACGCACTCTTCATTCTCCGCTTGGAGGTTGTCTCTCCCAGGAGGCCCTTTAGATTTTGTAATAGAGATGGCCTCCAAGGTGCTACCACTGCACCCTGTGACTTCCGGAAACAGAAGCCCCCCACCCCTGACCATGAGCTCGGTGAAGGCGGAGGCCACACCAGCTGTCTCCATGATTCCCACACCCAGCAGGCAGTAGCTCTCCAGTGTTCTCCAGTGTTCCGTATACTGCTGAATCAATAAATTAAGTTCCAGTCAAACCCGCCCCTAAAACACACGCAACTTCCTCACATTCAAGTATGGAGCAAATAAGGGGTGTCACTGAGGGGGGGCTCTCAGCTTCTGCCTCCAGCAGTCTTGCCAAGGAACGTAGGGCCTGCTGCCCACGCCTGCCTGGAGACCTGGAGAAGGTGTGCAAGTGGCCATGAGGTCCAGAAGCCCCATGAAGGCCAAACCTCCTGGGAGCAAGGCTCTGGGCCTAGCAGCAGGGGAGGTGACTGGGAAGTGGCAGGCCAGCAACATGTGACTCACCGTGCCCCTCTCCTGGCTGTCACTTCTTCATCTTGGCACCTCTTGCCTCAACTTCTCACTAAAAAGGGGCCACTGCACACTGTCCTTGCTTGAGTCCCCCGTCCTGCCCTTCCTCTGTCCCTCCAGCTCCCCGTTCTCTTCCACCTCCTCCTCCGCTGGCACCCTTGCCCTCCTAAGTGGGGTGCCGACTTCCTCTGAGGTCTCCGCTCTGCTGGTGGGCAGACAGAGGGTGGGCCCACTGGTCCTTCACCAAGCCCCCAAGTCCCTGGCCCACCACACGCCCTCCCTGGGGCCCAGGGCCTCACCTTCGGTCAGCCCCAGGTGGATGCTCCAGTAGATCTGCAGGCACTGCAGCTCCTTCTTCATGCCGCGCTTGCAGCGGCAGTCATAGAGCGGGCTCTCCTGCAAGACCTCCAGGGCCGCCTGGCACTCCCGGTTGGCCAGCATGGTGTTGCGGTCCCGGCCGGCCAGGCACTGCCGCAGCGTGCGGTAGCGGGAGCTGCAGTTGGATTCCGCCGCACACAGCTCATTGGCCCGGACACAGTCCACTGGGGGGCGCCAGCCGTGGAGCTCGGGGCCCTGCAGGGAGGAAGGGCTGGCCAAAGAGCGGAGGGTCTCGTCTGGTTGGTGGGGAGGGAAGACAAGCATGAATGAAGGCCACCACAATCTCTGACTCGACATGCAGGCCTGGACTTGGGCCCTCCTGGGGACCACTGGCCCATCTACACCAAAGCACACCAAGGCCAACTCAGCGCAACAGCCCTCCTCAGACCCAAGGGTTTCAGGCCATCATGCTCCCTGGCTCCAGGATGGGCACTGTGTTCGTCCTCAGCACAGGCCCTGGGCCTGGGAGCCAGGCTCAGGACCAAAGGCAGTCCAAGACGCCACAGGTCCAGAGAGACTGTCACCACCTGGGCTTTTTGGGGTGCAGAGGAATTTCACCTGAACTTCACCCAGGACCCCTACAAACTTCTAGCCACAGGCCCATCCAAGCACTGTGCTAAGCCTGGCAAGTACCAGAAAGTCATGACTCTCAGAAGAACCTCTCGGGGCCTTATCCACACTCTGTGGTTCACCACCCCCATCTTACTCTAGGGAAACTGAGGCCCAAGAAGGGAAACGCCAACTCCAGATCACACATAGAGGTAGGAACAGCCCCTCTGATACTAGTCTCCTCACTCTGAGTTGCTAGACTTTGTGAGAAGCGAGAATAGACCAGCCTAACTAACCCTGTGGTGGAGGCTGTCCAAGGAAGAGCACCCCCTTTGGACCCAGCGCCCCAAGGCTTCCAGTCCAACTTCCAACCAGACAGAGGTCTGAAAACCTCCCTGACACTATCAATATCCACCCCACCCCTCCAAAAGAACAGGCTAGGTGAGCCAAGAAGCAACCACCCCTCCGTTCCCCGGCCCTGCACCTGCCTCTCCCACCTCCATCTCTGCTTCTCTCGCTCTCTGCCTCCTCGCAGCTCATCACCTTCTCTCTTGGAGTACCTGGCTTTCTCACCTCCTTCTCTCTCTCTTGCCTTTCTTTCCTCTCCTCTCCTCACTCCCCTGAAGCCCTCTCCACTTTTTTTTTTTTTTTGGTCTTCCTTTCAAAAACCAAATAATAAATCAATTGAAAAAAGGATGGAACGTCCCTCCTTCAGGCCCTGACTGGCAGATTGAGCCTTGCTTCTCCAAAACTGAACCGCCACCCATCAGCCCACCCTCTGTCCCTATCCCCAGTGCCCTCATATGGGAGGAAACTGGGCAAGAAGATTTAGAGGTAACAGGCAGGGAGAGGCTGGCCTGTCCCTTTCAAAGCCAAGCTTCCAAAATGGTTCCCTCCATTTGTGGACATCTTCCCACCTCCCTGTCCTTGCTAAGCCCCTAACTCCAGACTCTGCCCCAGAAAAGCCCTATACCATGGTCAGAGCCACCACTGCTTTTTCCAAGGCCCAAAGAATAATTTTGGAGGCTTCTCCACTCCTTTCCACCCCAAAATATAATAAAATCCTGGGTCATTACCCCCCCCCCAGAATACTGCAGAATCCCCCCTCCCTGCCCAAAGCAGCCACTCTCCCAGCCTTCCCCCTAGGAGGCCCTGCTCAGGGGGGAGCTATTGCAGGGGGACAGCGACACCTAGAGGCAGATCACTGCACAGCAAGCCTGTCACTCCCCAGAGCCAAGAGGGAAAAGGAATCACTCCCAGAGGACCAGGATCAGGAGGCCCACCCCATAAGGAGACAGTGGAGGAGAGGAACAGGGGCAGGCAGGGCTGCAGAAGGCCTCAGGGACCCGAGCAAAAGATGCTTCCTTCTCACACTGACCACACCTCAGCCCCAGAAACGGAAGAGCTGTGGCCACACTGAGACAAGAACCTAACAGAAGCCTGTGCAGAGTGGGAGGTACAGCAGCGGGATCAGCCCAGGCACCAGCTGGAGACGTGTCCTCCACACCAGCTGAGGTGGCATCTTTCCTTCTCAGCTTCAGTAGATTCCTACATCCTTGAGTGGGACCCGGGTGCCTCTGGGCCACCAGGAGCAGCTGAGCCAACCCCACCACCACCACCTGCACCTGCTGCCCCCTCCTGGCCTGGGATCGCCACTGACTTTTCCCCAGTGTTCCAGTGGGTCATCTTTCACCTGACTACACCACCCCAGGGTACTAAGAAAGGGGCGTCCTGGTATCCTCAGCCTTCAGTCAGCTCAGAATCCACAGCAGGCTTAAAAATCAGTATATTAGTCTCAGGAACTGGGCCACTAAGAACACGCACCCCACCTGTCCTGCATGTGGGGCCACAAGCCACAGTGAATGGTCTCTACACAGTCCTAGAGAGGTTCCCATTCCAAAAGCAAGGGCCCCTGGGATGGGGCAGGGGCACATTCTGCAAAGGAATGATCCTTTCACCAACTGTCCCTTATTCTTCACCACCCCCAGAACCAACCAAGCCCAGCCAGAGAAGGGAATTGGGGCCACCCAGAACCTTCCACCAGGAATCTTGGGAGAAGAAGGGACAGAGGTATCCTGGGGATGTCTCTAAACCCTTGATGGGGGAAAGTGGGATCCATGAAGAGACATGTGGAGCAGCTTCCAGAAACATGGGGGGATCAAAAGACCACACAACTGACCTCCTAAATTCAGTGTCCCCCAAAAGAGCCAGATATGTGCTGAATGCCACTCAGGAGTGAGCCTCTGGCCACCCCTCCCCAACCACCCTCCTTATCACACTGTCTCCCTCTACACCAGCACAGGAGGTCAGCATGGCTGGGCAAAAAAGGCCTCTCTCTCCACCACAGGCCTCTGCCCCAGACCTCACTCAGATCCTTGGGAAGGATCCCAGGGCCCTTGCTCCAGGAGCACCCTTCACCACATCCTCAGCCTAAACTGCCTACTAAGTCAAGTTTCTGAAAACCCTCTGCCCTGAGCACAGTTTCCAACCAATCCCCAACTACAGTCTTCTTGCCAGGAAAAGGACCCTAAGGCTAAAGTGTCCTTACCACCACCCCAGCCCGTCCTTTTGGGAGCCCCTCAATATCCTGAGGCTACTCAGCTAAGCTCTCAGCCCAGCTTTGGAAGAGGACTCCTCAAGGGATAGAAAACTGAAGGGCTGTGACCCAGGGAGATGGTGACCACCTTCTCCCCTCCTGGTCTTGAACCCTCCCACTCAGTGCCTAGGTTGCAGACACCTGCTGGGCACCTCTGCCGATAAACCACACATACCTTCACACGCACACACCCCCACTGTGAGCAGGATCCCTAATGCCACTTCTGGAAAGGAGACTGAGAGCTGACTCTTCAGCTTCCTCAGCTGGGGACACACGAAGGGATTTGGGCCTGGAGAGGGTTGCTCTCCTCCACCACCAGCCTTCAGAAGGTGCCCACACCTGGGAGCTCTGTGGCCTGGGGGTGCACAGCTCAGCAGCAGGCAATCTGGCTGTTTTGACCGAAATACAATTTTCTTTTCTTCTTCGCCCTGATCATTCCAAGCCCCAGAAAGCTGTGTTTTCAAACCAGTAATGGGAGAAAAGGTCAGGTTTTATAACAGTCCCTTCAGAATGAGAGTCCACTTCCAAAGGATTGCCAGGAAGGGCTGCAGGATGGCAATGGGCCCGAGCACCTTCCCCACTTCCTTGCTCTGCCCCTCCCACCCCAGAGAGAAGTCACCACAGGCTTAGGGAGGCAGACAGTAAGGGCCACACCCCAGGGCAGTGCCAGGCCCCCTGGGGAACTCCTACCTTGACCCAGCCAACATTACTCCCATTGACTCCAAAGCCCAATCCCAATTTATAAGGCACTTCTTGGGCCTCACACATCTCTCTGTAACCAGCATCTACCTTCCGATCTGGGCCTTCCCAGAGCCCTCGTGCTAGAGGGAAAGGGCACACCCATGACCCCACCAAGGCAGCCGGGCTCACACTCCCACACAGCAAGCAGCGTGGCTGGAACAACACATAGGGGCCGAAATGTGCCCCTATGTCCACACACACACACTCTCTCACACACACACACACACACACACACACCAGGCTCTCTATGGAGCACACATCCCTGACCGCAGCCCTGCCTAGGACTCCTGATGAGCACTTGGCCTTGCAAACACCTTCTTTTCCTCCACTGCACCCAGAAATGGCCTTCTTTAGACCAGTTACCCCAGCAGCTGAGATTTCACATGGCATAAAAGGAGCAGAGATGTGGGAAAGAAACTGCTGGGATTGGGGTGGGGATCACAGGCAGTCTGTCCTCCTGTTCTGGAGGAATGAGGCTTACAAAATAAACAGTGGTCTTTGTTCAGGTGCCTTTTCTTCCCTCCCCCACATCCCCACCCCTTACCTTCTTCATCTGAAGAAGCAAACTTTGGCCTCCTCCCTCCCTCCCTCCCTCTCTCCCCAGCCACTGGGCCCTGAGCCCCAGAGGTGCAGCAGGGGAGGCCTTAGGGCTCTCACTATCCTCTGCTCCCACCCACCCTTCTGACTGGGATCTGGGCAAAGGATAAAGAGAAACTTGCAAAGTGTTACAGGGCTGAGGAGGTAGGGTGCATTTGCAGAGCTTGATTGGCAGGTGGGGAGTGACTGCCAGGGCTCCCCATAGATGTCCAACTGGGAGCTCCAGCAGAAACCCTGACCCTCCACTTTGGGAGCAGATCTGAAAAGGTGAAACTGGCATTTCTGTCTCTTTCTCTCAGCCACCAGCCTCTCCTCTCCCTGCTCTCTTCCAGATCAAGAGTTGGAATTTTTTTTTTCTTAAGTTGCTGCAATTTGAACCCATTATTGTAAGGGAAATGAGTGCCATCACGGCACGCAAGAGTGTGTATGGATGGGGATGGTTTGGATGTTCTAAGTCTCCTTCCCAATCCCCCCCATGCAGTCAGCGGTGGCTGGGGTCCCTCCGCCCGCGTCCATGCCGCCCAGCCTGCCGGTTCGCTGGTGCCCGGGCCCGGCTCGCCCCGCGGCGCGCTCTCTCCGCCAGTCTCCCGCGGCGCCCCGCTCG